GAGCTATTTTTTTAAAAGGTAGGACAGAAAATGACTTCTATACTTTTAAAATTTGCACAAAATTTAGGAGGTCTTTAATAGCGGGCTTAAATTTGATTGGCTGATCGACAAGGTATTAAATTTCTGATCATCTGACTTTAACCCCTTTTCTGGCTTATAAAACACGTATTAATAGAAAGCTTAAGTTCTGTTTAAAGGTACGTTTATAACATTAATATAACCCTTTACACTTTGAAAAAATATTTATAGTTCTACAATATCTGTTTTATCATAGTTAATGCGTTATAATTATAAGTGTGTTGATGAAATAGTTCTACAATATAAAGACACAATTACAACATGCTTGGATCTACTAGTCTAAAGAACAGTAGATATATTATTATGTTCATCATAGTTAGTATGTTACAATTGCAAGTGTTTTGAATAAATAATTACCTTATTAATGATATAATATTTGAAATTCTTTCATTATGCAAAAAGGATTAATAGTGTAATTTATGTCACTTAAGTAATGATAAGATGCAAAGTTCAATGCAAGTTTTCAACATCTATAAATATTTTTTTACAAATAAAAATATTCAATTCAACATGGGGGGATATAACTAAAATCCATCACGTGACAATTTATCAAAAATTCATTACTATTAATAAATTGAAGATTGATGTTTTTTTCTATCTGTAGATACATTTAAATATTTTATTATAAATATACTTAATATCCTCCCTAGTAGCAAAATCACTTTGTTGATGTGAGATTTTTGGTTCTTCTTCTTGATGCTTGTGATGGACTGTAATACCTTCAGCAATATTAGGTGAATTGCTTTTTTACCACAGCCCGGGGTTGGCAAATTGACTGGTCCATTGAGAACAGATGGTCCATTGCCATTAATAAAATATTAAAGTGTTACACTAATGGACCCAATGGACCACACATTTGCTAACCTTGCCACAGTCATTAATTTACATAACCATTAATTCATATACCACTTTATTTTATTTACTTTACCACAGCCTTTTAATTAACATGGCTTGAAATTTTGAAAATTTGGGATAGGGATATAACTCAATGGGATACAAACAAGGTATATTTATATTATTTTACAATAGGGAAATTTATCTCATCACATATTGGGGATACAACTAAAGATGGGATGTAAATAAATGGGGATATAAACGAGTTATGACTGTAATTTTTTAAAAAATGTCTTCTGTTACAACATTTAAGCGAAGTAAAAATGCAGCCAACTCTATCCGAGAAGAAGAAACTGCCTTTAAAGGTGGTTCTGACGGTGATAGACAACAAAAACCACAGTTTAGAGATGAACGTTTTCGAAGAATGGAATTAATGATCGAGTTGTAAGTAACCTACTACACACAATAGAGAGTTGGTTTTTGAAAAAAACAATTTTAATTTAATAATCTATGCCTATACTTTTATTTATTTATCCTTTTTTAATATACATGTTCAGCACTAACCTTCGTAACCCTAAACATTGTCCAAGTGGTGTTTATGTTATGCCATCTGCTGAATTTTATGGTATGGTTTTAGATTTTTACTTTTATTATTACGTGCGACAAATAAATTTATAAATTTTTAATACACTCTCTTAGTTTGGTACGGTGTCATATTTATTCATAAGGGTTATTACAAAGGCGGCGTATTTCAATTTAGAATTGACATTCCTGCTGAATATCCTTTTTTAATCAAAAAAAACAAAATGGAAAAAGAAATTGTTTTAATTAAAAAAAAAAACCCACCCTTAACTGTTGTTAAATCACATATCCAGATGTTGTACCTACTATCGTATTTCCATCTTCTACTATAAACAATCAAGGACTATTTCATCCATTGGTTCATGCTGAGACTGGTGAATTCTCTTTAACTCAACGGTTCAAAGACTGGACAGCTCATAAATATTTTATCTTCCATATTCTTCATTATATCAAAAAATCATTTAAGAAAGAGGTACTGGATAATTTGTCAGAAAAATATTGTCTTGGCATAGACGCTTATAAATTGTAGAGTAAAAAATTCATTATCAATTAATTAATTAATTATTATTTAATAACACTTGTTATTCGTTATGATTTATTATTAATTATTACTATTATTATTACTAGATATAATAAAGATATAAAAACTTTTGCAAATATGGCATCACAATCTGCAAATTTTTCACGTTCTGAAACTGTTTTATTCGAAAATCATACTGAGGCTAATCCAATCCAATTTTCAATATTACCTAAAGAAAAAGTTGGCAAGTATTTATTTTTTCTTAAAAAATAAAAAATAAAAAAAAAAAATAATTATGATGATATATTTTTTCAGACCTGTTCTGAGATATTTTCATTGAAGATAAAAAATTTTATTGCCATAATATATTCTGAATTATACAAAAAATCTTTTTTTTATTTTCTATTTTTATTTTTTTAAATAATAATATAATAATTTCTTTTTACACATATATATAGATGAATTAAAAACTTTTATGAGTCCACCGGTAAAATAATAATTGTTATTATTGACTAATTTTTATTTTTCTTGAATATATTATTAAATATTTTTTATTTTTTATTAAAAATAGAAAGTTGAAAAAGAAAAAGAAAAATCTAGTTACTTTTCTCGTAGAACATTTTCTGCATCTTCGATGTCTTCTATATTGAATCCACCACAATAACATATCTATGAATATTTTGTAATGATACATTTATAATAATTTCTTATGATTTATATATCCTTTATATATATACATATGTTAATCTTATTGTTACAAGTCTAAACTCTTTTTTTACAATTCTGGTAAAGTAAATTCAATAAATTTATTTATTTATTTATTTGAAGTGGGGGGTCGCATTCTAGGATTATTAATAGTTTGTAAATTATTATATGGTTGAGCGTAATTAGGGTAGGAAGTACGTTTTGCTGTTCTCTGACCATTTTGAGGCAATGGTTGTCCTTTAGAATTAGGATAAACCACCTGTGAGATTGGCCGAGCTGGTATTTGATATTGTATTTGTTGGTTGGGTTGATTTGAACTTTTAATTGCTTGCTTCTGCTGCTGTTGTTTTTGTTGCTGAAGTTGTAATTGGTTTGGCTTTTGTGGCTGTGGTGGCTGTAGTGGTGTCTGTGGGTTTAATGGTTGTGGTGGTGGTGGGTAGTATGTTAGAGTATTTCCGTTTGATGAATCATTCATAACAGGATCATTGGGAATAGTATAATTTACCTGTGACCTTTAAAATACAAAAAAAAGTTACGTGAAAATGTTTTGTAAAAACCCTTTAGTTTATAGCTGAATTCGAAACAATTCACTTACAAAATTTTGGTAAAAATCTTGGGAAATATTCCATAATGAGATCGACCTTGAATTTTTCCATACCACCATTCATCATTTACTTGGAATTAAAAAATCAATTATTATTCAATAGTTAATAAAAATATTTGCATGTAATAAAATCAATCTAAGTCGGGAAGAATTGAATGAATTGAAACATATACCACATTGAATAACTTCTATCTTATCTCCTTTTTGGAAAGCCAAATCATCAGTATCTCCTATTTTAACATGTATAAATAAATACTTGTTAACATAATAAAAAAGAAAAAAGAAAAAGAAAACAAACCATTGAAATCCCATAATGCTTCAACAATTGCGAGTGGAGCATTTGGAAGAGTGATAGGATATGGTTTATCAAAATGTCGTTCAATTCCATTTTCATTAATGTTATTTCTTGTTGTTTCTGCAGAGCTTTGATATCTTTGTGCAATTAATTTTTCTGTTGTATTTCGTTTTTCATATTGTTCATATATAGGATAGATTTTTGGAGAATTTGTCAAAGGAGTATCCGAGTAGTTTGAACCTTCAGCTATTTAATTTAAAAAAAAAATTTTTTTAAAAACATTAATATTTTAATACTAATAATCCATAATAAATCTTACTTGAATTTGTTAAGGAAGCTTGAGACGAAGAATTTTTTAATGCAAATTGATTTAATTGCGCATTTATTGAATTTATTTCATGTTGAGTTGGTAAAGGAAACCTTTGGTTTCCATTTGTACTCTCGCTTTGTTCTTCTAGAACAGGTGAGTCCATTGTTGAATTTGTCGTTTTTGGTGATGGAGCTGACGATTGTGGAGCTGGTGATTGTGGAGCAGCAACCGGTGATGTAGGTGAAGAAGTTATTGTATTTTTATTCTTTTGTATAGCTGGTTTCGGTAACTTGCTGCTAATTTCATCTAATACGTCCTTTTCAATATAGCCTTGCTGATGAAGAAAAGTTAAATCTTGAACGATACTATTAATAATGTGTATCGCATAGGGTTCAAGCACGACCACTACCCCATTTGAAGTAGAGTTGGTCGTTAAGCTTATAGTAGAATTAGAGTTTGAAGTTGTCATTTAAAATAATATTTTTTTTTACTAGTTTTTTCCTACAAACAAAATAAATCATTTTGCTAAAAAAAGTGGTTGTGGTCACCTTCAAAAAAGTTAATTGATTTACAACGTGCAACACGAGTTGTTTAAAATTTTTTTTTGAATTTCGATTAGATTTTAATTTTTTTAAAATGGTGAGAAAATGTTAAAAAACTCAAAACACCTAATTTGTAAATCAAAATTCATTAAAATCTAACTTTTTGATTTTTTAATCTTGTTAGGGTATGAGATTGGAAATTAAGGTGAAGAAATAGCATTTGTGCAGTTTAGTTCTTGTGATTATAAAAAAGGATCTAAATCTTAATTTAGATCTCTGTTTATATATATATATATATATAGCGTAAGCTTTTTGCTCGTTCGGATCGTGTAAAATGTGTAGATTTCCATCCAACAGAACCTTGGTTACTTGCAAGTTTGTACAATGGAACCGTTTATATATGGAACTATGAAACACAAGTAAATAATTAGTAATTTGGTTTTAAGAATGAAGTCTAGCTAGATTTAAAATATTTGTAAATTTCAGGCTTTAGTGAAAACTTTTGAGGTAACAGATGTACCAGGTAATTTTGGACGATCATCACATCATCAATATAAATTTTAACATGTATAAAACATGAAATAACAAATTATTGCTACCATGATTATTATGAAATATAGTTAGAGCAGCGAAGTTTATTTCTCGTAAAAATTGGTTGATCACTGGTTCAGATGATATGCAAGTACGAGTCTTTAATTATAATACACATGAAAAAGTTACAACAATTGAAGCACATCCGGATTATATTAGATGTATTGCAATACATCCTACACAACCTTTTGTTTTGACAGGGTCAGATGATATGACTGTCAAGCTATGGGATTGGGAAAAAGGATGGAAATGTATTCAGGTTTGAATTTTGATTATATTAAATCATTTAATCATTTATTATTATTAGAAGATCAATTAATCAATTAGATTTCTTTTTTTTAAACAGATATTTGAAGGTCACACACATTATGTGATGAATATCAATTTCAACCCAAAAGATTCAAATACTTTTGCATCTGCATGTTTAGATCGAACTATTAAAGTTTGGTCTCTTGGTTCTGCTGTAGCAAACTTTACACTCGAAGGCCATGAAAAAGGAGTGAATTGGGTAGATTATTATCATGGTGGTGAAAAACCATATCTTGTATCAGCAGCTGACGATAAACTTGTTAAAATTTGGGATTATCAAAATAAATCATGTGTTCAAACTCTTGAAGGACATACACAAAATGCTGCGTTTGCTTGTTTTCATCCAGAACTACCGATAATTATATCTGGTAGTGAGGATGGTACGGTCAAGATTTGGCATTCAAATACTTATCGCTTAGAAAACACATTAAATTATGGATTGGAACGTGTATGGACAGTCGCCTATCAAAAAGGAAACAACAGTGTTGCATTTGGGTACGATGATGGTGCAGTTTGTATTAAGGTTGGTATAATGATTTTCTATTTATTATTTTACGTAAATAATGATGAAATTAAATTAATAATATATATATATATAGCTTGGTCGTGAACAACCTGCAGTTAGTATGGATAATTCAGGAAAAATAATTTGGGCTAAACATAACGAAATTCAAACTGCCAATATAAAGGCTGGTCATGGTAATTTTAATTTTCAATATGTATTTTTTTTTAATCATCATCTAAACGATTTCTTGTTAATGGATATTATTGACTATTATATTATTGGTTAGATGATAATTTCAAAGACGGTGAGCGTTTACCATTACCAGTCAAAGATTTAGGTAGTTGTGAAGTATATCCACAGACATTACAACATAGTCCTAATGGAAGGTTTGTAAATAAAAAATTTTAATTACCGTAAAGTCTCAAAAGATAACATCCCCGAAAGACAGCAATCCCCTACTTTAAAAAATTTGAAAATCATTTTTCAAATTTTTTATATAATCAAAATTTTTTCTTTCTTTGAATTCTTGTAAAGATTTGTGGTGGTTTGTGGTGATGGTGAATATATTATTTATACCGCATTGGCCTGGAGAAATAAAGGTTTTGGAAATGGATTAGAATTTGTATGGGCATTAGATTCTAACGAGTATGCTATATTTTATTTATTTTCGTTATTAAAAAAGTTTCATTAATATTTATAGCATATTAATTAATATATATATATATATATATATATATAGATATGCTGTTAGAGAATCAACTACCAAAATCAAACTTTATAAAAATTTTAAGGAAAGACCAAATGCGCTTAAGCTAAATTTTTCAGCTGAAGGAATATTTGGTGGTACACTGTTAGGCGTTAAAAGTTCTTCTTTTTTAAATTTGCATGACTGGGAAACAGGATTATTAGTTCGAAGGATTGCCATAGTTCCAAAGAATGTAAATGTTAATTTTATAACTGAAAATTTTTTTTTTTTTAATTTATTATTTATTACCAATCAGTACGTGATTAAATTTTCAACAGGTTTACTGGTCAGATATTGGTGATCTTGTAACGATAGCTTGTGAGGATTCTTTTTATGTTTTACGTTTTAATCGTCAAGCATATCAACAATTTATAGAAGACGGTAATGAGGTTGGTGAAGAAGGTGTTGAACAAGCTTTTGAACTGCTTATAGATATTCAAGAGAGGTAAAATTGAATTCAAATCGATTTAATTCAATAATTTTTTTATTTTACTGATCAATTTATTTTTTTTTTTAGCATTAAAACGGGTACATGGGTCGGAGATTGTTTTATTTATACTAATACCATTAATCGTTTAAATTATCTCGTTGGTGCTCAAACATTTACAATTAGTCATTTTGATACGTAAGTGATCAGTTAGAAACAATAATTTTACATTTAAAAAGATGTTATTCTAACCAAATTTGTTATCGTCATCAACGTTAACAACAACATCATCATCACCGCTATCGTCTGGTGGATAGAAACATGTATTTACTGGGTTACATTCCTAAGGACAATCGTATATATTTGGCTGACAAAGTAAACATTTTTGATAGAAGTGTAGTTAGTTAATTTTTTTGCTTTTAAGAAAATTCTTCAACTAAAAGCACATAATTTTTCTAGGACGTTAATGTTTATAGTTATTCTCTTTCGTTAGCCGTTATTGAATATCAAACTGCCATACTCAGAAATGATCTTGAAACTGCAGAATCTTTATTTTCTTCTGTACCCAGTGATCAAATAAATCGAATTGCAAGATTTTTGGAGAGTCAAGGTATAACAAACATTTTCATAGTTTAGATAATAAAATTACATTGTATTTTTTTTAAAAAAAAACATATCTATTTATATATTTACTAGGTCTGAAAGAACTTGCACTTGAAGTTTCAGATGATATGGAACACAAATTCGAGCTCGCTGTACAGCTTAACAAACTTGATATAGCTGTTGAAATTGCACGTGAAGTAGATACTGAGACAAAATGGAAAATTGTTGGCGATTCTGCTTTAAATGCTTGGAAGGTTGTACTTTTTTTTAATACTTAACAATTTTTTTCTTAAATAATTCTAATATTATATAATTTATAATTTTAGTTCTCGCTGGCTGAAGAATGCCTTAAGAAGGCTAAGGATTTAAGTAGTTTATTATTGTTATATACTGCATCCGGAAACTCTAAAGGCATTAAAGAATTAGCAGAATCAGCGGGTATGTATTATTAAAGCATTTTTTCCAAAAAAAATAATCTAGCTCATTTTGAAACGTTATTTTTTAAAAACTATGTAGCTGCTGATGGAAAAAACAACGTAGCATTTATTTGTTATTTACAACTTGGTCAAATTGAAGAGTGTATAGATATTCTAATTGAGACAGATCGTACTCCAGAAGCAGCAATGTTTGCTCGAACATATATGCCAAGGTTTTATTTTAAATTTTACTTGTATAATTTTTAATTTACTTATTAAATATAGTTTTTTCTTAATAGTCAAATTTCGAGAGTGGTGAAATTATGGAAAGAAGGTCTTGAAAAACAAAACAAAAAAAAGGCAGCAGAGGCTTTAGCTGATCCAGCCGATTACGAAAACTTATTTACAGATTTTAAACATGTGAATATATATTTTAGCTTTTTTTTTTTTTGAAAAACAAAGAAATCTTCATTAACTTTAATTACTAAACAGGCGTTGATTGCTGAAGAACTTTCAAAAAAATCACGTAGTAATGTTATTCCTGCTGCTGCATATTTAGAAAACAAAGAAACTCAAGTGAATGATATCATTTCTGGTAAATAACTTGCTCCATAAAAAAAATATATATTTTGATTTTTTTTTTAAAAAAAATTTTAAATACTTTGTTATATAAAAAATAGATATAAAGGAAAAATACCCTGATGGAGTAATGCCACCTAATTTATCATCTCCAATTCATACAAGGCTAGTGAATAGCATTGTAAGAAGAATTAACATAAACGGCGAACTTGATGATGATGTAAGCTTTAGAAAAAGGGTTTTTAATAATGACAATTAATTAAATATTAAATTGGAATTCGATATATATAATTTTTTTTTTCAAAATTATTCTTTGTAGGTTTTATCTTCAGTTGCTTCTGTAGATGATGATAGAGATAATATGAGTATGTTAAGTATGGAAGGTGGGTTTAACTCTCCAAGTCATTTTTATGTCTTATAATGTTATTGTTGTATTTTATATTTATTTATATATATATTTACATTTCTTTAGTTAATACGACCGGAACAGGTTCAGTAAGGGTATGTTTTAACTAATTATTTATTTATTATTTAATAAATCATAAGATTTTCTCACAATTAATAATATATAAACAATAGGGTGACGTTGATGAAGATGACACTGCTTCACTTGCTACATCTGAACACGATATATAAATTTGAGGACTTTTTTATTTAGAATGTTATTTATTGAATGAATATTAATAAATTTTTAAAAATAAATTATTAGAATTTTATAAATTTTATAAATAATATATAATAATGAATTTATAAATAATGATTTGTTTTTTTGATAAATAAAAAGAAAATTATTTTTTTGCATTTTAAATTTATATTAACACCATTAAAGTGTTTGAATTATCTTTTTTAACCAAAGGTGATTTGAGATTCAGGAGGTTTTAAGATGCTGAAATATAAAAACATACGTGTGAATTATTATTAAAATCAGTAAATAATATATAACAAGTGGCAATGATTTTTAAAAGTTAACAGCAATATAGTAAAAATTTACCGGCGAGTTGAATGTTCGGATTTATTGGTACCAAATTCGACACCTGATTCAAACTGAGATTTTCCTCGTCGTTTGCTGGAACCAGTGATTGAACCAGCTTCAGAAACATTATCGTCATTGTCATTTTCACCAATAGAGAAATGTGAAGCATTCTTGTTTGAATTGTATCTGGTACGACCAGCAGCAGCTATTTATTTGTATATTAGTTTAGACGCAATAAAATCAATAAAAAGTTGTTTTAAGAAAAGAAAAATTAGGTGAGAACAATTCTTACGATCTTCAGTATCGTGGCTGAAAACTATTGAAGATTTGCCACCAGTACCACCAGGTTGACTAACGCGGCTAGAAGTATGAATATTACGACGAGGCTGTTGTTGTTCTATTTGTTCTGTAATATATATTTGTTTTTTCAAAAATTGTTAACAGTGATATAATTATTTATTTACGAAATAAAAATATATTGTTAATAAATCATATTACCATCGACTTTCATTTGCGCATTGGAATTCATTAGCGACAAACCAGCACTGAGAAGATTTTTACTAAATGGATTGAGATGTACATTTGGAGGATTAATCAATGCATCAACCTGTTTGTCAGTTAATACCGGCCAAGGGCTCTTCTCAGATATTCTATACAACAAAAAAAACCAAATAATGATATAAATTAATTACCATTGTTATTAATATTTCGCTATTTAACAGAACATGTCAAATCTTTTATAATTACAATTTAAGTTGTTTCAATACAGAAGCTTGATCCCAATAAACGCGCTATATTTAAAAAAATTTATCAGTCATATTTGTGTGTATGGATTAATAATATCAATGATAATAGTAGTAATAATAAAAATAGCGACGATAACTACTACATTATTAGTAAATCACTTACAATTGAAGAGATTCTATCACCTTCATATAATGCCGAAGTTACCTATCACATACACAATTTTTTGATTAAAGAAATAACAACGACACGTGAAAAGTTCAAAAGAATCAACCATGCTTACACAGGCTTCAAATTGATCAATAAACCTACCATTGGAATGACGACTTTGTTATCAATTGTGTGTCTACTGTCAACACCAGGTACAATCCAGGCACCATCGCCGCTAACAAAAAGAATTGTAATTTCCGCCTCTTCAACGACGGAATCAGTCCCAATTGTTCTGTAAACTGGTCTTTCGGTTATTTTGAGTACGCGAGGATCATATGCCTTTGCCAAGAATTGTCTAACGGCATCATAACCTCGTGCGCCAGAAGCTGTTGGGACAAAAATTACAGAAGCGTTATCTGTATAATGATCACCGTCTCGGTTACTTTTATATTCACTCCAAAGTTCGTCAAGATTCATTTTTATTATTATTAATAAAGAATATGGGTGGTGGTTAGTCTAAAGTTCAATTTTTTATTGATTGATGAAGTTGTTTGGTTGCTTTGGAGTATATGTGTAATAATAGTTAACAGTGAATGTTGATGAAGTTCTATGTGAACATGTGAGGTATTAAATTTAATTTGAAACAGTTTTAATTCTTTTTTAAAAACAATAAAATGAAAAACCTACGATATAATGCGTTGTTTGGGAAAAAAATCAAATTTAGAAAAAAGACTTTTTTTTTTAAAAACAAAAAATTTAAATTTGCATAACTGATATATATAGACAAGCATGTCGTGTAACTGCATATCCAATCTCGCTGCAAAAAACAAATAAAATTTTTTTTTTGATCGAAACAAAAAATATCAAAATTTTTAACAAATATACTAATTATTCAAGATGTATCAAAGAGATCGTAATGCCTCATTATTTTTGGGCGGTGAACGTATTTCTGGCAATGAAGTTCGCAACCAAAATGGTACGAATTGACAAGTAGTTGTGGCAAAAAAAGACAGGCATAAAAACAATATAACTAATGTATATTTAATCATTGATTATCTTATTTGCAATTTTTTAGTAATTGCTGTAATGTCTATTGCAAACATTGTTAAAAGTTCACTTGGACCTGTAGGTTTAGATAAAATGTTAGTTGACGATATTGGGGTAGGTAATTAGTTTGATTATATCATATTTACCAAGCATATTTATATACATGTGTGAGTGATTGTATACAAATTTATATTCAAGGATATACCTATATGACTATATATTTAACTTGTATTATTTATTTCAATTTATTGATCACAATCATAATTATGATTATTTAAAAAGGATGTAACTATATCAAACGATGGAGCAACAATTCTCAATTTATTGGAAGTAGAACATCCAGCAGGAAGAGTATTGGTTGAATTGGCACAACAACAAGATAAAGAGGTTGGTGATGGTACAACATCAGTAGTTATCATCGCTGCAGAATTACTTCGTAGAGCCAATGAACTTGTAAAAAATAAGATTCATCCAACCACGATAATTACTGGTTATCGACTTGCAAGTAAAGAAGCATGTAAATATATTGTCGATCATTTAATCACAAAAGTTGATACATTAGGTCGGGAATGTTTGATAAATGTTGCTAAAACCAGCATGTCTAGTAAAATTATCGGAAGGTTAGTTGTAACTTTATATCATTTAATAAAAATGATATTATTTGATTTACTAACTCAAGTGGGAAATAGCGACGATGAATTTTTTGCAAATATCGTTGTTGATGCAATTCAAGCAGTAAGGTCTACCAATTCTCGAGGAGAAACTAAATATCCAGTAAAAGCTGTTAATGTACTTAAAGCTCATGGTAAAAGTACACGTGAATCAATTTTTGTTAAAGGTTATGCTTTGAACTGTACAGTTGCAGCACAAGGTGATTTTTTTGGATTAAAAAATATTGGTTTTTTTTATATGATTTAATAAATTAAATTATAATGTAAATAATTATTTAGCAATGAAAAAAAGAATTACAAATGCCAAAATTGCATGCCTAGATATGAATCTTCAAAAGGCTAGAATGCATTTAGGCGTCCAAATTACTATTGATGACCCTGATAAATTAGAAGATATTCGCAAACGGTTTATAATAATAATCTTTTATTCTTTAAAAGCAACATAACTATGCAATAATAATTTATTATTATTAAATGTTTATAGGGAGTCTGATATTACAATTGAACGTATACAAAAGATTCTTAATACAGGAGCTAATGTTATTTTTACAACAAAAGGAATCGATGATTTGTGTTTAAAATTTTTCATAGATGCAGGAGCAATGGCAGTTCGTCGTTGTAAAAAAGAGGATTTAAGGAGAATTGCTAAAGCAACAGGAGGTTTGTTAAATTTACTATACAAACTTAAACACATGTATAAATATGTATATTTGTATTTAGTAAATAATATATGTTTATAGCTACACTTGTTTCTACACTTGCTAATCTTGAGGGTGAAGAAACATTCGAGCCATCTTTTCTTGGATCGGCAGATGAAGTTCTTCAAGAACGTATTTCTGATGACGAATGTATTCTCATCAAAGGAACCAAAGCACAAACTTCTTCATCAATCATTTTACGTGGAGCAAATGATTATATGTTGGATGAAATGGAAAGAGCTTTACATGATTCGTTATCGGTTGTTAAAAGAACCTTAGAGAGTAATAGTGTCGTTCCTGGTGGTGGTGCAGTAGAAACTGCTTTAAGTATTTATTTAGAAAATTTCGCAACCACATTGGTAAATTATACACATACATATTTGTTGCATTAAGAAAGCAAAAAAACTTTTTAATATAAACATAAATATAAATATATTTGTAGGGTTCACGTGAACAACTTGCAATAGCAGAATTTGCAAATGCACTTCTTGCTATTCCAAAAACGCTCGCAGTGAATGCAGCAAAGGATTCAACCGATCTGGTTGCAAAATTACGTGCATATCATAACGCGTCACAAAATATTTTAACGCTCGACGATCCAAAAAAAAACCTTAAATATTATGGATTAGATTTACTTAAAGGTGAACTTAGAGACAATTTAAGCGCAGGTGTATTAGAACCTGCAATGTCAAAAATCAAGTCACTTAAATCAGCAACAGAAGCCGCCATCTCAATCCTTAGAATTGATGATATGATTAAGGTAAATATTTGTTTGGACGGAATTTAATTGTATAATAATAATGATGATGATAATTTAATTAATTTATTGATCCTTTTCTTAAAAATTTAAAAAATAATGATAATAGGTTGAACCAGAGCAAAGAGGTGAAGATGATGGACACGGACATTAAAGGGAATTTTGATAAGTGTAAATGTATATATACACATGCATATATATGTGATATATTATTTTTTAAATAAATAATAATAATGATCTGATTAAAAAAATCTATTGATTAATTAAGAAATGTATCGATAAGTGTAACGAGCAGCTGATAGCAAACTATATAATAATGAATGATATATAAGCAAATTTAATAAATACTATCTACCATCCAATATCACGATAATGATTTTGTTATTATTTACCTGAGAATACTAACAAGTCCAGCAGGCATGAATTTACCACTATTATAGAAACGAACACCCATCACGATGAGTAATACACAGGAAACAACTATATTGAAAAAAAAAATTTTATCAAAGATAAGTCGAATAAGAATGGATGGATAATAATATTGCTGATGATGTTGTTGTTACATCCATACAATTACATACTTAAAGCCATTCCAACATTTTTCGGATTAGTGCTAACTCGATTTGCTGCATATGCCTTTTTTAATAACGTTGAAAAGGTCAAAATAATGATTATATTATATTTAAAATTAATGATATTAATTACCGCAAGTCCTCCAAAGCTCAAACCAGCAATTAAGGAAGGTAAGCTACCTAACCATTTAAAATCAGTTCATCAAACAAAATACGATTGATAATTAAATTATCAAGCAAAGAGTAAAATAAAATAAAAACCTGCTTTTACATAACCAACGACTCCACCTAAAGTAACAGTCTTGATAATTTAATGAACCAACGTTTAAAAAAATATATTATTTTAATAGATATATTCACTCATTCAATATATAATATTCGTTTTATAAATGCTGGCGGTGGAATGATACTTACCAAAGCATAACTATATCCAATATAATCTGTCATTTTTTTTTTTGATTCTTTGATTTTTGGATGTGATCGACATCATATCCAATTTTAGTTTTAAGCTCCTCCTAAACTGCATTGGGACAAAAGTTATTATTATAAAACCTCATGTGATTTTATATAATGATCGGTGAGGATAAATAATTCCCGAACCTCTTTTAAATCACTCCGCCTCATACTAATATGTATGGTGTTGTTGGAATCGAATCTGGAACTGTGACCCATTGTTCCGGGTGATTCGAATAAACGAATAAAATGAATGGCTCGGTGATTCGAATGGAATGAATAATGAATAAAACGAATAATTCTAATAAAACGAATAAACAAAACGAATAAAATAAATAAAAAAACTAATAATTCGAATAAATACAAACGAATAAACGAATAATAATAATAAACGAATAAATAATTCGAATAAGAATTTGTATTACGAGTAGGAAGGAATTCTAGCTCAATTCAATAATAATAATGATTTTTTAAACGGGTTGCATTTCGTTTAATTACTTCTCTACAAATATCCGAGCAAACATTATGAATAAAACAAACATGACTTGGCTATTTAATCATTTCCTTGTATGCGAATACCTCCATCCAACAAATATTCACAATGGTCATGATTATTATGCAATACATTTAATATCATCATTGACATAACAAACAATTGCATCATCCAGGTAGTAATAACACCAAGGCCATGGATAAACGAAACTTTTAATAATGCAAGTCTACCCGGATCTCTGGGCTCACAAGAATAAGTAAATGGAGAGGATCAAAAAATTATTTTCCTTCCCATTGTATGGTTCTTTATGAATAATTAATCTGATGTTGATCACAGGTGTCAGATTTAATTAAAACTTTCCTGTCACCAACATGTAGTAGTTGGGTGTTCTTAACACGTCTCATAACTATGGAATTTTTTTTCCACATGTGAAGGTCCCCAACGTTGGAAGGCTTTGGACAAAACTTTTCTTATGCTCACCTCAGACCAGGCTGGATGCTACCATATGGGCATTGATTGCTGACGAGGTTCGGCATTTGTGTGATGATTGCTTTGTGTTGTATTCATCTCTCACTAGAATAAATTTGGTGTTAAGACTGGCTTAAAAATTCTCCAACTCGGAAGTTGCAACATGGGTTTTTGTTTTGGATTTACCTGAATTCAGAGTTTTGAGTCCTGGGTTGCTGTCTGGTCAGTGGCATGCCTACTCACCAACAACCCTACCCCCATTCGAAAAACAAATTCAGTTGGGAAAATGATTAATTTATAACATAACATACTAAAATCTGAACCATTTTATAACCTTTTCCTTGTTGGCCATATTGCTGACAAAGATATATACGCATGGTGGACAAAAGTTTGCGTCCAAAATTTCTTTTGAGTTTATTTCAAAACTATACTAATTAAAATACTGTGAACTTTGCGTCATTCGAAAGCTTTCGTTCTTGAGAATATATTCGTGATATTAAAATTTGAAGTTTTGTCATGAAAAAGGACAAAAAATTAAAAATTAAAAAATGATGTAAAAATCGTGAAAATGTTGATTTTGAAAAAATGGGAAAGAACTGCGAATTGACTGTTTATGAAAAATCACAAATTATCGGCCTTTTAAAAGGCAGTCATACGAGAAAAGAAATTAGTGACATACTTGGTTTTCCAATTTCAACTGTTAGAAATACAATTCAGCGTTATGGAAGTTCCAAAACACCCTTAAGAAAAAAAAGAAGCGACCGACCCAGATTGCTTGGTGGTAATGAACAAAGTGTTTTGAAGGAAATTGTTAAAACTAATAATAGAGCTGCAGCTGGTGGTTTACGAAAATTCTCTTAATGAAGCCACTGGTATAAATGTTTCTGTTAAAACGATTTATAGAAATTTGAATCAAATTGGTATTCATTCTCATAATGCGGCGTTAAAACCACTTCTTAATGAAAAGCAACACCAAAATCGACTTGAATGATGTATGAATCGGCGAGATTGGACAATAAGACAACGGAGGACTGTCATATGGAGTGATAAAAGTCGATTCACTCTTTTTGGCAATGATGGACCAACAAAAGTATGGCATGAGAAGGGAACTCGAAAATTTGGCTCCTTCTGTAAAACATGGTGGAGGTGGGATTATGGTTTGGGGTTGTTTCACAGCTAAAGGATTGGGACCATTAGTAAGAGTAGAAGGAAAAATGAACCATAGAGATTATATAAATATTTTAGAAAATCAATTGCTTCCATTCATTCAAGAAAAATTTTCTAGAAAAAGTTACAAATTTCATATGATAACTCGCCTGTCCACATGGCTAAAAATGTTAAAAAATAGATATCTGAGAAAAAGTTAAAGATTCTGGAAGATTGGCCTTCTCAATCTCCAGATCTTAATCCCATTGAACATCTATACGATGAACTTGGTAGAAGATTAAAGCAATGTCCTGAACATCCAAAAAATAAAGATGAATTGGAACTTTTTTTGAGAGAGGTATGTATGGCAACAAATTCTTCGTGAAAAAATACTTAAATTTAATTGACAGTATGACCCGAAGGGTCGAAGACTGCATTGCCAATAATGGTTGGCCCACTAGATATTAAATAATATTTTTTTGAAATAAAGAATACGCTTTTTATCTATTAACATTTCGTTATTTTTTTATTTTTTATTTTTTATTTTTTATTTTTTATTTTTTGTCCTTTTTCATATCAAAACTTCAAAATTTAATATCACAAACATATTATTAAGGACAAGAGCTTTCGAATGATATAAAGATTACAATATTTTAATTAGTATAATTTTGAAATAAATTCAAAAGAAATTTTG